AAAAAAAAAAAAAAAAAAAAAAAAAAAAAAAAAAAAAAAAAAAAAAGTATGGGAACAGAGAAGGGAGTTTATAGCTCAAAATACTGTTGACTAAAAACCTGTGAATCAGATGGCTTGGACAAAGGAGGATCAGCCACTGCATAAGCCAGGCATAGAGGTTCATAGCTGTCATCCCAGCACTCTGGAGGCAGAAGTGGAAGAACTGACATCCGGTGACAAAGAAACAAAAGAGAGAAGAAAACCAATTGCACGTAGTCTAAGATCTGAAAGCTTAACTGTGTTCATATGGTTCCAGCACCATTTGTTCAAAATACTTGCTGCTGTGAACCGCTGCTCGAAATGCTTGCGGAAAACCTATTGACTGGGGCTGGAGAGACGCTCAGCTAAGAGCGCTTGCTGGCTACACTTCCAGAGGAGTGAGATTTGATTCCCAGCATCCACAGAGTGGGGTCACAACCAGGGAATTCTGGTGCCCTCTTCTGGCTTCCACATATGCATGCTGTCTACAGACATTTCAGCAAAACATCGTAGACATGAAAGTTTTTTTTTTTCATTTTAAATCAATTGACTGTATAATGATCAGCGACTGTGTAATGATTGGTCTCTTTCTAGACTTTCTGTATCTTACACACTGTCACACTGTCTTGACTTCTAAAATATGAAGCCTTGAATCAATGAAATAAAAAACAATGTTGAGTCTTTCATTCATGAACATTTTTTGTTTTTCTAGTTTTCAGGTCTTTTTTGGTGTCCTTTACCAGTGTTTTTGTTTGCAGTAGTACACATTTTTATTGAATTTATCTCTTAATACCTGTATTTTCTGCACCATTGTAAATAGGGTTAAAATTTTTATTTTTTAATTGTTCATTGGATGTGTGTGACTTTCCTGTATTGACTGTGTACCTTGTAATCTTTGCAAATTTCTCTGATTTGCTTTAGTCCTCTCTCTCTCTCTCTCTCTCTGTCTCTTTGTCTCTCTCTGTGTGTCCCTCTGTCCCTGGATTTCTTTTTCCCTTTGTGGAGCTGAGGATTGAACCAGAGCCTCATGCATCCCAGTCAAGCACTCCACCACTAGGCCACATGCTTAGCCCTCTTCCTAAATTGAGGATTCCTCAAAATCCTCTATTGAGCTTCTTAAATGAGCTCTTATTCTCTTTCCTGTATTCTAACTGTCATCCTCTCTTTGTCTATTAGCTTTTCCTGTTTACTGTGGGAGGCATACACCATGGAGAACAGAATCTGTAGATGTCACTTCAAGGACTCGAACTCAGGTCTTCAGGTTTTTCAGCAAACGCCATCACCTGATGAGCCATCTCGCCAGTCCTTCTTTTCCTTTTTGTCCCAGATATAATCTGAGCACAAATCTCAGGCTGACCTTGCACTCATGATCCTCCTGCCTCAGTGTCCTAAATGCAACAATTATATCATGAGCCACCATGCTTCCTTATGTCCGGTTCTCGTGATTTTTTTTTTCTGTTGCTGTGCAGTGACAGCCAATGTCTCAGTGAGCCTTTTCTTTTAGCATTCATGCCCCTGTGTAATCCATCCTCAAATTCTATCAAAGTTGGTTTGTGTGACCAACAGAATAAGTTGGAAATAACTTAGTGTGGTTGTCTCGAGCTGCTCCTGACTTGGTTTCTCCTGAATCACTTCTGTCTACAGACATCAGCTCCCATGCCATAAAGCCCCACGGAGAAGAACTCTTCTAAAAATAGACAGTAGTGCCAACTTGTCAATCACTTGAGTCTACCAATGAAGAAACTCTCCTTTTTTATCTCTGGTCAAGTCTTCATATGACTGCAGCCCTAATGAACATCCTAATTGCATTTTTAAGTGTTTATTTTTATGTGCATTGGTATTTTGCCTGCACGTATGTCTGTGTGAAGGTATTGGATTCCCTGGAACAGGAGTTACAGACAGTTGTGAGCCACCATGTGGGTGATGGGGATTGAACCTGGATCCTCTGGAAGAGCAGCCAGTGAGTGCTCTTGACCACTGAGCCATCTCTCTTAAAAGACTTTCTGGAACCTGGTGTGGTAGCACACAACTGTAATCCTAGCAGAGGCAGAGGCAGAGGCAAGCAGATCTTTGAGTTTGAGGCCACCTAGTCTACAAACCGAGTCCAGGACAGCCAAGGCTACACAGAGAAACTCTGTCTTGAAAAAAACAAACAACAACAAAAAAGATTTTCTGAACAGAGTCTCCAGATTATCTACTCAATTTCTGAGCCACATAAACCTTAAGGTTCTTTAATGTTTATTGTTGTTTTAAGCCACCAAGGTTTTGGTTTTTGTTTGTTTGTTTGTTTTGTTTTGTGGTCTCACTATGTAGCCCTGGCTGGTCTGAAACTTGCAAATCTTGAACTCCCAGATAATCACCTGCCAAATCCTGGGATTAAATATATACATAAGCCACAAAGTTTCAAGGTGATTAATTGTGTAGCAATAAGTAATGAATACATGCTAATATATTTTCAACTCCCAGAGCTCTAATTTTCTGGAAGCCCTATTTAATTAGTATGTAAAGACAAAACACCAAGTAATCAACATACAAATATCTAAAAAGGATAATTTTTACATCAATCACTGAGGTAATTTCCTCCATAAGAAATTTCATATCAGAGCCTAAAGAGATGGCTCTAGCAGTTAAGAGCATTTTGCTGCTCTTGCAGAGGACTCAACTTTGGTTTCACCATCCACATGGTGGTTCAGAACTGTTTGTAACTCCAGTTTCAAACTCTCTGTCCTCTGTGGGCACAAGGTACACTCAGGGAGTACATACGTGCTTGCAGGCAAAACCCTCAGACACATTAAGAAAATATTTTAGCTTTTCGCCAAGATGTCGCTGAAATCAAAGAAAGAAGCTCCAGCCCCTCACAAAGCCGAAGCCAAAGTGAAGGCCTTGAAAGCTAAGAAGGCAGAGCTAAAAGGCGTCTTCACCAAGCTTCCCACAGCGCCAGAGATCCTACGGCTCCGGAGGCAGCCCAAATACCCTTGAAAGAGTGCACCCAGGAGAAACAAGCTTGACCACTATGTCATCATCAAATGACCCCTGACCATCACCAAGTCAGCCATGAAGAAGATAGAGAATAACACACTTGTGTTCATTGTGGATGTCAAAGCCAACAAGCACCAGATCAAGCAGGCCATGAAGAAGCTCTATGACATTGATGTGGCCAAAGTCAATACTCTGATAAGGCCTGATGTTGGCTGCTGATTATGATGCTCTAGATGTTGCCAACAAGATTGGGATCATCTAAAGGGAGTCCAGCTGGCTAATTCTAAATATACGCTTTTCCACCATAAAAAGGAAATATTTTAAAAGGATTTTTAATATCAAAGAAATGAATGATTATGCTACCAATGTCTTACTTCTGTAGACTACTTTCTTTGTGTTTTGTTTTGTTATTTATATATGTTCTTTTTTGAAACAACATCTCACTGTGTGACCCTGCCTGGTCTGGAACTCACCATGTAGACCAGACTGGCCTTGAACTTGCCTGCCTCTGCCTCTGCCTCTGCCTCTGATGTGCCAAAGTGCCTGTGCCACCATGCCCAGCACCTGTAAACCATTGATGGCTCATGCAATAGGTAACAGATTTAAAGGTAGCAATGCTATTGACGAGCCAGTAGCCCTTAGGCAACCAACCATCATTCCACATAGCTATTCTAAAGAGGGGGAGGCTTTTCTCCCCAGTGAATATTTGGGAATGCAGAGATAATTTCCCCTGACATCTCGGGAAATGGAACTACTGGGTATCTCATGGAGAGGTGTTGGGGACATTCCACAGTAAATAGGCATCCCCCTTGCAACAAAGAAATCCTATCCAGAGGTTTGAGGTATAGTTTGGTGGCGGTGTGCTTGCATAGCAAACACGAGACCTTTGGTTCAATCTCCAATTTGACAACACACACACACACACACACACACACACACACACACACAGAAATCTTTCCCAAATCACCAATAACAATAAGAATGGGAAACCATAATTCAGCATAGATGAAAGTAGGCAGAATACTAAAACATATATTAACATTTTAAACAGTGATTGAAATATGAAGACAACACACTGAAAGAATAGCAACTAACAGCTTCTACACAATCATTCTCCCCTGCTCTCTGCTGTCTTAGTGTTCTGTTAATAATTACAGATTTGGAACAAAACACATATAATAAAAATGTATTATAGTTATTTGTGTTTCCACCACTACATTGTGAATGGTCATAAACGTTATTCCTGCCAGTTTGATCCTTGGCTAAGCATGGTGAGAATCTTCAGGTTGATCACCTGAATGTCATCTGTCCTTCTTCACAGCTCTATCCTTCACAGCTGTGCAGCAGCAGCCCCAGCCCAGGACTGGCTTCATTACTCCTATTTTGGGCTCTCGTCCCTTGGCATGGATTGCTTAAAATGTCATGCTTAAAGTTCAGCGGAAGTCTCACAATGTACCCAGTGGAAATAGTTTCTCAGGGAGCCATAACATCTAGTTTCCTGTCTGCTGCTGTATCAAAATATTCTGACTGAAGCAACCTAGAAGAGGAAAGGAATTTGGCTTACACTTCCAGGTCACAGCCCATCACTGAGAGGAGTCAAGGCAGGAGCTCATGGAAGGAGTTTGAAGCAGAAACCATGGAGGGTTGCTGGCTGCCAGCTCTCTCACAGGCTAGCTTGCTTAGAGCCCTGGACCACCTGCCTAGGAACGGTGCCACCCACAGTGGGCTGGGCCTTCCTATATCCATTAACCTGCAGGACAACCCCCCCACACGATAATATGATCCAGGTAATCTCTCAATGGAGATTTTCCCCTGAGACGACCTGAGGCTTTGTCAAGTTGATAAAGTTAAGCAAGGTAACATCTAAATATGAAAATCTTTCAGGAATGGAAAGCACAAATTCCCCAAGTTACATTTCATGCAAATGGGTCTCTTATTTCTGTTCCTTCCTTCTTAGACTCATGTATTCTACTTATTAAGGACATAGAAACATAGAAGGCAATTGAATTCGTTTGGGGGTATTTTTATCTTTTAAAAAATATTTATTAACTTATTATTTTATGTGTGGGAGTGCCTTCGCCTGTATGCACCTGTGTACACTATGTGCATGCTGGTGCCCATGGAAGCCAGAAAGGAACATCAGATCTCCTGTTGTGAGCTGCCATATGAGTTCCGGGAACTAAACCTGGGTCCTCTGCAAAAGCAGCCAGTGTTCTTAACCACGAAGCCATCCCTCCAGCCCACAATATTATATATAGTATATTAAATCTATAATATATGATATATACCACATAATCTCTTTTTTAAAGTAATTATTTTGTGGATTAGAAGAAAGAAATCCCAGACAGCTTCCCCCCTTTGATTATATCTTTGCTTTAATGGAGTAACATTTGAAAATAAGCAGGCATCTAGGAAACTGCAAAGCATTATGAGGCATTGAGACCAAAACGGTATGTTACTTGAGTGCTAAGTTTCTAACTATACAACGCACAGAATTTTTAGATAAAGAACATTCACTACTTGCCCATCAATCACATCCAATGGCCATAGCACAATAGAAGCCTTCACCGCAAACCATGTCACAGAGCCACCATATGAGGTCACTGTGTTCTATTTTATTTTAAATCATATGAAGGAGTATATCTGTAATTCACAATGCAAGTCCGGTTCCTGAACATTTTAGGTATGAAATGTTATTCATCAATTTGCTATTCAAATTGAATTTTTCAGAAACAGCATGGCTTTTTTAAGTTATTGTATAATAACTAAAGTGTACGTTAATTTCATAATGTTGATTCAATACACACATAAATGTGGATATTTTCCAGAACAATAAAGTAGATAAAAGGGTTAAGGCATAATTCCTTACGAATTAATGAGGAAAGGATACAGGATTTAAGAGTCTTTTCCAGGCATTTTAAATTTCTGTAAAACTCTTTATCCTGAGACTGATCATTTAAACGTGGTACACAAAGTATACTGAATACATTGTTCCGTGGGGGGTTGGGAACGGAAACGGTCACTTTCATACAATGAAATCTTCTACTTGCTCTTGGTTTTCCTCTGGGAGCATCCTGTCTAAAGGCCTATAGTTGTAATAGACAATATCGCTTTCATCCCTTGGCTGGTATTCCCATTCCATGTCAGTTGGAAAACCATTTCCTGAGCCGGAACCGGAACCGGAACCGGAACCGGAGCCGGAACCTGAACCAGAGCCTGAGCCGGAGCCGGACCCAGAGTAGTCTTCAGAAATAGGGAAGAAATCATTCGGGAATCTTCTCGTCCTGAAATACAAAGGGAAAAATGTAAAGTTCTACCCATAAATAGTATAATCTCAATATTTTAATAGAAATAAACTGGGTATGGAGTAGACTCAGATTATAGCAGCTTTTGGGTGGTGGGTGCAGCAGGATCAGAAGTTGAGTAGTCCTTGGATCCATAGTGAATTGTAGCCAGCTGCGTCTCCCTGAGCTTTCTCCAGAAACAAAACGAAAATGGGGTGTAGGGAGAGGCCAGGGGGAATAGGAGACAACATGGAAATAAATTTAGGCCGCAGTTGTTCAAATTCGAGGAGTTAAAACCCTCTTCAGTGCTTCAAAACAAAAAGGCAGGCTGAAGGGACGTTGGTTTAGGAGCTAATGCTGATCTTGCAGAGGATCTGGGTTTGGTTCCCAGCACCACACGGAGGCTCACAACCACCTGTCACTTCCGTTTCGGACACTTAGGACACTAGGACACCTGGCTTCCTCCGGCACCAAGCACCCACGGGGTGCATCACACACGCGCAGGCAAACACATGTGCACATAAAATAAAAACAGATAAATCTTTAATTAAAAAAAGCAGTGGATCAAGCCCTCCACTCCAGGTTTGCTTCTATTTGTCATTTTTGCCCAGTGCACACACGGACCCCACATTTACCCAAGGCAGACTCAGGGGAACAGCGTTTGTTGTTTATATCACGAACTTCAGAAATCCTGTGGTTTTTGTTTTGTTTTGTTTTGTTTTTTTTATATTTTTGTTTTTGTTGTTTGTTTGTGCTGTTGTTTTATTTTTCGAGATAGGGTTTCTCTCTGTGTAGCCCTGGCTCTGATCTGAAACTTGCTCTGTAAAGCAGGCTGACCTCGAACTCATAGACATCTACCTACCTCCCAAGTGCTGGTATTAAAGGTGTGTGCCACCACACCTGGAAAAGGTTATTAACCTTACCAGAATGGAAACATTAACTTTCCTCTCCCCCCCAAAATAAAACTTGATCCTGTTTTCACAAGCTGAAAGTCGGAAGCTGCCAGGGCTAAGTTAAGAGGGCTGGTTAGACACGCCTAGCTCATTTAATGAGCACACAAAAACCTGAACACAGAAATGCTACCACCCATCCTTGGCAAATCTGGACAGCAAAGCATCTTTGGCAAAAGTTGAGTTCAAGCCCAGAATGGTGGCACAAACGATTCATCTCTGCATATGTGAGACAGAGGCAAGGGGTGACACAAATCTGTACCTAAACTGCTCTAAATATCAAGACCCTGTCTCAAAAAAGGGGAGGGGGAAAGGTTGAACGTTACGGCCCGTGGGTCATTTTCTGCATGAAAATCACAAACCATAGACTGTAAAACTTATCAGAGTTACACCCAGTTGTGGGTACATTCAATAAATGTTATTTGTTGAACATTTGGTCTTTGTCATCACTGCCTGAGCTACAGCAGGGACAGAAAGGTGAGGTCCCTGATGCAGAAGTGAACAACTTAGTGGAAAAAACAGTTAGGAAAATGGTGGGTAGTGCAGAGAGGAAACGAACAAGTGTCACCAAATGTGCTCCAGGAGTAGTGTGCTTCAGCCTGCCGCCTCAGAGAGAGCTGGATGCAGACTGTCAGTAACTGACAACACAGACGGAACGGAAAGGTGTGGAACCAGCAAAGGTCACCTCGAGGAAACACTGTATTAAAGCTGAGCCAAAGGGGAAGCAGCTATGGAAACCCCACAGCCTGCACAAGGCAGATGGTAGAAGTCCACAGAAGGGACTGTTTCAAAGGGAGTGGTGGGTCATCACTTTGAAAGGCGGTGAAGAGGTCAAGTAACCTAAAAATAGAGACACAATCAATAGATGTGTGTCAATCACCAGGTCCTCGGGGTTGAGGGCAGCAGCAGAAATCTAACCTGGTGGGGGTGGGGACAGGAGTGCAAGAGCAAGCATAGACATCCCTTCTACAAAGTGCTGCTGTGCTAAGTATGGTGCCACACACCTTTAATCCCAGCCTTTGAGAGCCAGAGGCAGAGGCAGGTAGCTCAAGGCCAGCCTGGGTTACATAGCAAGTTCCAGGCCACCCAGGGCTATATGGTGAGTTGAGACCCAATTTAAAAAAATACGGTATAATAAGGTGCAGAGTGGGAAAACAGCTAGAGAGGGACAGTGTCAAGGGAGGGAGTCTATTCAAAGTCAGGAAGCTGAAGAGGATGCTAGATCTGGAAAGGCACCTGCAGAACGGAGTCTGAGACAGAGTATGGCGAAGAGAAGATCTCTGACTACTTAACACAAGGGAAGCTGCTTAAACATGGAGCAGCAGAGAAGCAATGTTAACAGGAGACAGCAAAGTAACCAGAGGTGACCAACTGCCACCTTCCCACGCTGGCCAGCAAGATGGCTCAGCACATACAGGTGCCTGCTGCCAAGCTTGGTGACAACAACTCACTCCTGTCCTCCGACCTCCACACAACGATGCGGCACGTTCATACGTGTAAATGCATGCACACAAGTGAACGACAAAGGTAGGCTGCTTCTGAGTTGCAGAAGACGACCTGCGACAAGGTATAGCCCCGCCTGGACTTGAATTTACAACCACCCTGACCTAGTTCACCCATGGAGAGGAGTGTGTCACCATGCCTAGCTGACCTTTGTCCCTAACAGTATTTTTTTTTTAATATGTCATTGTTTTTCCAGAACATGTCCACTGGCAAGTCATTCACAAAGTAAAACTGAATAAACAGTGTTGAGGAAGAGAAAAAAAATGAAGAAAAGCAAAACTGTTAACTTAGGTATTTAATAAATATGTTTCAGTTCAGTACTTGAAGTAGGACAGGGCTGGAGAGATGCCTCAGAGGTTAAGAACACTCTTAACCTCTTCTAAAGGTCCTGAGTTCAATTCCTGGTAACCAAATGGTGGCTCACAATCATTTATAATGAGGTCTGGTGCCCTCTTATGGCCTGCAGAATACTGTATACATAATAAATAAATAAATCTTTTTTTTTTTTAAACTAGAACATAGCTGGACATGGTGGCACATGCCTGTAATCCCAGCACTCTGGGAGGCAGAGGCAGGTGGCTCTCTGTGAGTTCAAGGTCAGCCTGGTCTACAAAGGGAGTCCAGGACAGCCAAGGCTACACAGAGAAACCCTGTCTCAAAAAAAAAAAAAAAAAAAAAAGACAGCTATGGTGGCACACACCTTTAATACCATCACTCAGAGACAGAGGTAGGCTGATCTTTGTAAGTTCAAGTCCAGCCTGGTCTACATAGCAAGTTCTGGGCTAGCCAAGGAAACAATAAAATCCTGTCTCAAAAAACAAAACAAAACAAAACAAAACAAAAAAAAAAACAAAACAAAAAAACAACTAACCCAATTTTAAAACTATATACAATCTTTTTCACTATATGTTGGAAAACTAGTTCCCAGGGTTTGTCCACCCACAAGAAAACCTTCCAAAAACATGGATGTGCCCATGTGTGTCGGCACAGTGCAGGCTTCAGCACATGTGACACACTTCTGCCTTATGTGAAGTAGAAAACAGAATTACCACAGCAGGAACCTGAAAAGAAATGCTTGCAACGCCTGTGTCATGAGACAGAGTCCACTTACAGAACAGGATCGGTCAGTGGAGGACCAATGTTGCTGGATTCATCAGCCATTAGGTCGAAGACCGGTCCCTTCTCCTCGATGCAGTTGGCAGAGACGCCATCAGGCTTGCAGCGTACCCACTGGTACCTGGCTCGCCGAGCAGGGTAACCTGTCCGAACAAGGAACCCACATGCCTGGTAAGAATCTCACACGGCTTCCTTAGAATGGGTTACACTCTGTCTCTAACAGTTAATGAAATGATTCTAAGCTTGGCAGCAGGACACCGGCAGTGCCTGTGACGGACATCCTCACTATCAGGGCACTTCTTCACCATACCAACCGGCTCACAAGTACCATGGGGCCAGGGAGGTGGTTCAGTGGGGAAAGGTGTCTGCTGCTGAGCCCACCAATCTGAGTTCAAGCCCCAGAATCCACATAATAGGAGGAGAGATCCAACAAGTTTTCCTCTGACATGCACACATACTCACACATGAGCACACCATACTAAACACACACACACAAACACACAGTGTGCAACTGTGCTTAACAGAGTAGCTTTGGGAATGAGCGGCTGGGCGAGGAGGCTCAGCTCTGCTAGAGGGTCAGTTTGGAAACCTTGACCTCCAAACTTGCACTCTAAACTGAAGTCCGGTGTTATCCTAAGTTTGTCACGAAAATTAAATAAGAAAATTCATATGAAGACCTTAAAATAGTGCCAGGCATTATAACAACTATTTAGTGACATTGACTTCTTCTGTATACAGGTTTGTGCCATATCCCAGGCTGTCCTAAACTCTTACTTCTTAGCCGGGCATGGTGGCACAAGCCTGTAATCCCAGCACACAGGGAGGCAGAGGCAGGCGGATCACTGTGAGTTCAAGGCCAGCCTGGTCTACAAAGTGAGTCCAGGACAGCCAAGACTACACAGAGAAACCCTGTCTCAAAAACTAAACAAACAAACCAACCTCTTATTTTTCTTTCCTTTTTTTTTTTTTTTGTTTGTTTTTTTTTTTTGTTTGTTTGTTTTGTTTTTTCGAGACAAAGTTTCTCTGTGTAGCCCTGGCTGTTCTGGAACTTACTCTGTAGACCAGGCTGGCCCGGAACTGATATTCTCCTGTGCTCCCTCCTGAGTGCTGGGATTAAAGGCGTGTGCCACCATAGTCCTATAGCTCTGGACCGTCCTGCCTCAGTATTGCCAGTGCTGGCATTACAAGTGTGTGCCGCCACCTGGCTCCCACACGGCATTCTTAAGAATGAAATGTGGATGAAGCTCATCTTCTTTCTCTGTGCTCAGAATCCCTAGGAACACAGCTCCTCTGCTCACAGATGGACAGAGCTCAGAGTCCCCTGCCACCTCCCTTGGATTTTTGTTGTTGTTGTACTGTTTTGTATTTTTAGACAGCATCTCACACTGTAACCATGGCTGGCCTGGAAATTGCTAGGAAAACCTGGTTGGCATGGAACCTGTGGAGATCTTCCAGCCTCTGCCTCCCAGCTTTGCTTCAAATGCCTGGATTGCGGGTGCACGCCACCATTAAGAGCCGTGAGATGTGTGATGAGGCTGAAGTGGCCAGGAAGAAATGCCATGCCACCTTTGAGTGGCGCATCTTCTTCCTATCCAAGGACACGCTTTGCAAACCAGCGCCGCTCATAACCACCCAGTGAGAGGAGCACGCCTAGAATTCTTGTGAAGGAGGGAGTGTAGTATGGCAGCCCGGGGTGGAAGAGAAGGACACATTCAGATAAATGGCCATCACTTGTTGCAGGATATGGACCAAATGGAAATGAATGCTCTAGAAAAAAAAATGTACAACACAGGGAACATTCCATTTTTCCTGGGGATATAGTTCAACGGTAGAAAGTGTGCTTAGCATGTGCCAGCCCCCAGGTTCCATCTACTGCGCCTCCAATTAATTTTTAAAAATGTATGAGTGTGTGCATCCTCTCAACAAGCACTTTTAACTGATGAGCCATCTCTCCAGCCCATATCTTAAAATTTTAAGTCCTTAAGAGAAAAGAGAAAGCAGATCAGCACTTTGTACATACCCCAGTTTCAACAGCATCAAAGGAAGGGGAGAGAAAATACACAAAAAGGGACCATGGGAGTAGAATCTGGTTAGTTTTAGAAAGTTTTCTAAACTGGTGTGACAACATTCCACTGAGATACAAGCATCTAAAAGACTCTAATATAGGGCTGGAGAGATGGCTTAGTGGTTAAGATGATGGCTCACTGTTCTTGCAGAGGATCCAGAACCAACACAGAGGCTCCCAACCTCCACTAACTGCAGTAGCAGGGGATCAGCGCCCTCCTGTGGCCTCTCCAGGCAGGAGGCATGCACGCTGTGCCAACTTACGTGCAACCTAAAGCACTCATACACACAAAAAAGGAAAGAGATACGAAGTTGTCGTAAAAAGAAAAGCTAGGTTCTTGGAATGGTTCTTAGACTGTGGTCACAGCTTTCCAAATGCTGGTCTCCCCGATGAGGAGGACAACACTGATCCATTTCTGGCCTGGAGGGAGACCCGGCCACCCCTTGGTACCGCTCTGGTTTTCAGTTTATGGTGTTTCAAACGTGGACCACATTGTGTCAATGAGCTCCTGATGCGAATGGGATAAAAGTTCGTAAAGCCGGATAAGACTGTGCATACGGCCAATGTTCAACACATTTTAAGGCTTTTTCTCTCTTGATGTTTTCCTGAGGGATCTAGTGCTCTCTCTCTCTCTCTCTCTCTCTCTCACACACACACACACACACACACACACACACACACACACACACAGAAGCAGCTGGGCTCGATGGCTCATGCCTGTAACTGCAACACTCAGGAAGCAGAAGCAGGTGGATTGCTGTGAGTTCAAAGCCAGCCTGGTCTACAAAACCAGTCAAGGACAGCCAAGGCTACATACAGAGACCATGTATCGAAAAACCAAAACTTAAAAATTAAAAATAAAGAGCAGCCTGTTGTCCAGCAGAGGGCGATGTCGCCCACCTCAGCTGGCCACACCAGCCCCATCTAATTAAAAACAAAGCCAACTCCATCTACCCCCCCCCCCCCCATCAACATCTCAGTGGCATTGGCTTTCCTTTTTGCTTCCTTTCTTTTTTTTTAATTTTTTATTAATTACACTTTATTCATTTTGTATCCCCCATAAGCCCCTCCCTCCTCCCCGCTTCCTTTCTTTTTCAGCAACCATATTTTTGTTTAAAAAATGTAAAAATCATCATTATTATTTTCTAGACAGAGTTTCTTTGTGTAGCCCTGGCTGTCCTGGTACTCACACTGCAGACCAGGCTGGCTTCGAACTCACATGCCTCTGCCTCCCAAGTGCTGGGATTCAAGGCATGTGCCACCACACCTGGCTATCATGTAAAAATTAAGTACATGTTGCTTGGACATATTAAAATATCATTTAACCATGATATTTTCGAGAAACCCTGTCTTGAAAAACCAAATATATACATATATATTTAACATATAATCAATATTAAAGTTATGAAAGAGATGTTTTATACTGTTTTAAACCAACTCTTCCAAACTGTGCACATTTTGAAATCACATGTCAATCTAAACTCAGCATACTTCTTCCTTCCTTCCTGTTTTGTTTTGTTTTGTTTTGTTTCGGTGTTTCAAGACAGGGTTTCTCTGTGTAGCCCTGACCAGGCTGACCTTGAGCTCGAAAATTTGCCTGCCTCTGCCTCCCAAATGCAGAGATTAATCAAGTGAGCCACCAGCTGACTCAGCATATTTCAGGGATTCAGTGGCCACAGGTGGCCACTGGCTGCTGGACAGGATAGGCAGTCACCTGTGCAAGTGACTGATGCCCTGAAAAAACACAAGCCTGGTTAGAAAGTTCTGCTGTAAAGCTAACGGCATGTTTTCACTTCCTCTACAGGGTCAAGATCAAACCCAGGCTTCATGCTTCTTCATCGCTCTGAGCAGCACCTCCAGCCCATCAAACGAGAGGGTGTCCCGGTCAAACGGCCGCATCTTTCCACCAGTGAAAAGGAAAACAAAAACTGTAACTTCGGCAGATTAGCAAAACATTTCTGAAATGCAAAGGTCTCCCAGAAGTCAAACTATTTGGGAGGCAGAAAAGTTTTCCAAAAGCTGGTGATGATGGTTACACAAGCTATGAGACCCTGTCTAAAAGTAAATAAGTCAGCTGGGCGGTGGTGGTGGTGGTGTACACCTTTGATCCCAGCACTTGGAAGGTCGAAGTAGGCAGATCTCTTGAGTTGGAGGTCAGGCTGGTCTACAGTGAGTTCCAGGACAGTCAGGGTTACACAGAGAAACCCTGTTTCAAAAAATAAAAAAACAAGTGGGGCCTGTAATCCCAGCACTGGAGAGGAAGAGATAGGCAGATCTCTTGAGTTCAAGGCCAGCCTAGTCTACAAAGTGAATCCAGGATAACCAAGGTTACACAGAGAAACCCTGTCTTGAAAAGAAAAACAAAACAAATAATAATAGTAGTAGCAGTAGTAACGATGATGATGATGATGATGATGATGATGATGATAATGATGATGATGATGATGATAATGATGATGATGATGATGATAATGAGGAGGAGGTGGAGGAGAAGAAATCAAAACCAGGCCACTTGCAAATGCCTGTGATCCCAGTACTTGAGAAGAGTAGAAAGATGGCCACAAATTCAAGGCCAGTCCCGTCTACATAGCAGGTTCAAAGTTAGCCAGGGACCCATGGTGTGATTCCATCTCAAGACAACAAATAAACAAAGGACAGGCGCAGGTTCTAAAGAGCTTGCTTTGCTTGCACAAGGACTTGAGTTTTACAAGAACCCACAAAGGTGAGGCCTGGCTATATACTTTATTTGTAATTCATCTTTATTTCATGTGCATTGATGTTTTACCTGCATGTCTGTCTGTGTGAGGATGTCAGAGCCTCTGGAACGGGAGGTGTGGACAGTGTGAGCTGCCTTGTGGGTGCTGGGAACTGAAACCAGCTCCTCTGGAAGAGCAGCTAATGCTCTTAACCAATGAACCAACCCTCCAGCCCCAGATGTATACACTTTCAATCCCAGCAATGGGGCTCACTGCCAGCCAGTCTAGCCTAATTGTTGAGCTCCAGGCAAATGAAAGACACACTCTCTCTGTGTCTCTCTTTCTGTCTCTCCCTCTCATTTTCAAAACAGGGTCTCACTGT